GCTGTTCTGTTAAATTTTGCTATTCTGACTGTGGTGAGATGATATCTTATAGCTGTTTTGATTTGCATCTCTCTTAGAGCTAGGGATTTTGAACATCTCTTCATGTGCATGTTGGCCATCCAAATGTCTTCTTTGGTGAAGTGTCTGTTCATATCCTATGCCCATTTTTCAATTGTTTTGTTTACCTTTATCTTGTTGTGGTGAAAATAATTTTTTTTTAAAAAAAGATTGTTGTTGACATTGTATGTATCATCAAGTTGCTTGCAAATCATAGCAACACTATGTACAACAGTCCTGAAATCTGCTCTGTCTTATGTTAACTTTATTATCTCAAACACACCTACCCTTATTACCTCAGTCACTGTATCAATCCATCTCATTGATGGTCTCCCTCTCTTTCTCTGTCCCTCCACCCTTCCAAGTATGATATCCCTCTCCAAGGACTGGTCCCTCCTTACAACATGCCCAAAGTATATCAGACGAGGCCTCAGAATCCTTGTCTCCAAGGAGCAGGCTGTCTTCACCATCTCTATGATGAACCTATTTGTTCTCCTGGCAGTCCACGGTATATTCAAAACTTTTCTCCAGCACCACAGCTCAAAGGTATCAATTCTCTCTGTATTATCCCTAGCCATGTCCAGCTCTCTGACACACAACAAGTAATTGCGAAGACTATGGCCTGGATCAAGAGTATCTTAGTTCCAGACTGACAGACTGACACTAATGCTCCTCAGTACTCTTGAGAGGTCCCTGAGAGCTGACTTTCCCAATGCAATTCGTCTCTTGATTTCCTGGCTGCTGGTACCAAGAGTGCTGATAGTGGAGTCAAGCAAACTAATGATATTAACAATCTCAATCTCTTCACCACTGATCATGATGCTGCCAACTGGCCCAGTGACGAGAATCTCTATTTTCTTGATGTTGAGCTTCAATCCATATTGACCAAAGAAGAATTGGAAAAATAAAAAAAATTATTGATATGTTTGAAATATGATGTTGGCAAAGAATATTGAATGTACCATAGATTTCCAGAAGGAAAAACAGATCTGGCCTGGAAAAAGTATACCTAGAATATTCCTGAGATGTCTGGGTGGCAAGACTTTACTTCATATACTATGGACATGCGACCAGGAGGGACTCTTTCCTGGAGAAGGACATCTTGCTTGGTCAATGGTTATTGAAAAAGAGGAAGATCTCTCGCACAGTCGTGGCCACGGTGAACTTAAGCATAGCGCAATTCTGTGGATGGCACAGAACCAGGCAGTGTTCTACATAGGATCGCTGTTGGCTGGAATTGACATGACATCACCAAACAACTGCAACATGTTTGATTTCCTAAAGATTTTTCTTCATATTATCCTGAAAGATACAGTTTCTAAACTGGTGTTCTGCTAAAATTCTTATCTGTCAAATAGGTCTCATAAAATGACTTATTTGTGTTGCATTAAGGATGGCAAAGATAGGACAAGGTTAGGATTCTTATGAGTCATACTCAACTCCATGACACCTAACAACAACACGCTTACTTTGGGTTTAATTCTTTTTCCTAGCTTCATTGATTATATGATTAATTTTTTTACATCATATGGAAGAGGGATTTAGGGGTGACACTGAGACGCACTTGGCCCTTCTTGGCCACTGCTTTTCCTCATGGAGTCCAGGATGTGGCTTGACTTTGCTCCTTCCACCCTGTTTTGTTTTGGGTTTTTGGTTGGTTTTTTTTTTAATGTTGTTAATCTTTTTGCTGTTAAAAAGCTTTCTTCCAACACTCACACTGTATTCTTCTTTATATAGTCTACTTCTCAGTTTACTTGTTCAGTATATTGTTGTTTTTGTTGTAATATGCCATTAAGTCACCTGCAACTCACAGCGACCCTATGTACAACAACTCTGAACCTTGCTCTATCCTGAGCCAACAGAATGAATAAACATGATGAAAGAATACGACCCTGGCAGGATATACCCTTTCTTGATTTTAACCTAAGTAATATCTCTTGTTCTTTTCAAACTGTCTCTTAGTTGATGTACATGTTCCATATGAACACAATTAAGTGTCCTGAAATTCTCATGTTTTGCACTGTTAAAGTTTATAATGATCCACCTGATCAAAGCCTTTGCATAATTAATAAACACAGATTTGCATCTTTTTGGTATGTTCTGCTTTCAATCAAGATTTCGATGACATCAACAATGCTATCTAACCCTCATTCCACATCCTTTTCTGAATTCAGCTTGAGTTTATGGCAGTTCCCTTTTGATATGCTGCTGCAAACATTTCTGAATTATATTTCAATTATTTGAAGTATTATTTACAAATCAAATATCTAAAAATTATAATGTACCACAACTACCTGAAAAAGGAAAGATTAGTTTATCATTAGTAACTGTACTTCAGTCACTGTAATTCACTATATTAAGAAGAAAAATCCTAGGATAGTTATAAAGCATTTGACAAAACTCAACATCCCTTCATAAATGATTAAACTCTTAACAATGTAGGAAGAGAGTCTTTCATAACATGGTAATAGGCATCTGCCAAAAATTCTATAGTTAACATTATCCTAGGTGGTGAAGAAATGTTTACTATTTAAAATAAAGAACAAAATAGCAATGTCTATTCTCATTACTTCAACTCAACTTTAAGCTAAAGGCAGTAATCAGTGCAATAAGGCAAGAAAAAAAATTCAGTAATTAGAAAAGACATAATAAAACTATCTTTATTTACCAGTATTATTATAAATGTAAAACCATTTAAGGAATGTATAAAAACCCATGAGAATGAATAAGCCTATTTAGCAGTCAACATACAAAAAACCCAACTATACTTTTCTATGCTATCAATAAAAATTTAAAAATTAAATGTTAAAATACCATTTATAACAACATCTAAGGGAGAAAGCTAAATGAAATAAATGGGTAGCTATTTCTTCATGAGTTGGAAGATTCAATAAAGTTAAGATGTCAGTTTTCCCCAAATGGATCTGTCAATTCCATTTTACTCCCATCAATACTCTATCAAGTTTTTTTAGAAATTGAGAAGCTAAATTCTAAAATTTATGTGGAAATATGAAAAACCTAGACTAGTAAAAACAATGCTGGAAAAGAATAACAAAGCTGGAAAACATACACTACCTGACCTCAGGTTTTCGGGGCTTTTTTTTTTTTTTTTTTAGATAATCAAGTATGGTACTAGAAAAATGGGTCGAAAGAACAGAATAATAAGCATAAGTGTTGACTCCAACATACAGTCAAGTAATTTTCAACAGGCAAATCAAATCAATTAAAAGGGAAAGGGAAAATCTGAGTAACACACGTGCTTGCAAACTAGACATTCACATGGAAAACAAGAACCTACATCACAGCATGCAGAAAAATTAACCTCAGGCACACACCAATCTACACATAAAAGCTAAACTTCTAGAGGAAAGCAGGAAGAGGATTTTTTCATGACCTTCTAACTAAAATATTTCTTAGAAAGAACACAAAAACCATTAATCACAAGGAGGAAAAAACCAAAACAGATAAAATGGATTTCATCACCATTTAAAACTTCTGCTAGTCAAAAGACACCATTAAGAAAATGAGCAGGCAAGTTACAGGCTGGGGAAAAATATTCACACTGCAGATATATGACACAGGATGTGTGACCAGAATATAAAATAATTCCTGCAACTTAGTTAAAAAAGATGAATCTATTTTTAAGGCCCTGAGTCTTGAAAATAAAACTGATAAAAGATCTACAAATAGCCAATAATCATATTAGCAGAAATGCAAATAAAATCTATAATGAGGTAACACTGTACCTCACTAAAATGGCTGCAATGAAAACGACAGATAAAACCAAATGGGCAAAGATGTGGAACAATCAGAACTCGTGCTTTGCTTGAGGGAGAATTGTTTTTTCAGTCTTGATAGGGATGTGGGTTACATGGATGTACATTTTATTTGTCAAAAATGAAATGTACTCTGAAGATCTACTTGCACTTATGGAATAATAACTAAATTTTTTTTTTTAAAGTAATTGTTTATGGCAGTGCTAAGACACTGCATTGTTGGGAGCATTAACTCCATTTTTTGCCATGTATCTATCACATTCTCAATGAATGGCAACATAGTTCAGCAAAAAGTATTACATAGCCCAGAACCAAACCCTGGCTTTTCTGAATCTAGGCTGGTCCCTCTGTTTCCTTATCTATAACGTGCTGAAGCCTAAATCTGTTCCACCTTGGTGCTAAGCATTACTATCATGATGGCAAGAGCTTATGTGGCAATACCATGAAAAGTTAAAGTACCATGTGATGCTGAATAAGCAGGAAAGAGCACGGTAAAGCCAACCTTGTAAAGTAAAGCCTTCCTCCCCTTATGTGATTCTTCGGGGTTGCCAATACCTTCAAACTTTCACACGTGACTTAGGAATGGATCCACAGGGAAAGTCTATGCAACAACTACGTGGTTTTGGAAGAGACAACTTTGTATTGACTGCTACTCTATACACAAGCCTATCTCAAACCTATCTTTTAAAATAAAAACAAAATCCTTTCACCAAGTCCTACCTACTTAGAAAACAGTAAGTTCTCTACCACAAATTTGATTACCATTTAAAAAAGGAGAAGGAAGACAATTAATGATAAATAAATTACTCATCTAGGGAACTCATGAACTGGCAAAAACTTTGGTACCAGCAACGTCCAAAGCATGTTATATACTTGCTTTCCAGTCATCTTTTGCTTCTAGACAGAAGATTTCATAAGGCCATTTTACAAACAGAAGCAATTAAAGGACTATTATTCCTGTTTCCATGGAGGAAAGAGAAGGGTGTCCCCTGTCAGATTTTATTATCATACCCAGGTTCCTTTGGACAGGGGGACAAGACCTTGAGGTAATCAAAACCCTAGGGAGCCCTCAAATCAGCAGACCAGTTTGTCAGGGTTGACAAAATAATACAAAAACCAGTCACCCAAACCTTTATTCTCTGATCTGGCACTCTCATTTGCTTGGCTTTCATTGGATCGTATCATGTAGTCAGTAAACTCCTGGTCTCCCTTGATCACTTCCAAGGGGACTACAAGGTTGACATCAGAATCTGTGTTCCGTAGCTGGTTGAGTTTCATATTCACTGAGAAGAGGTATTCCCGCACGTCATCTATGCCTACCTTCAGACCCTTGCACACCACATACCTGGCAAGAGATAACCCCAACACTCTACTAAGAAACAGCTTCTTCACATTCTTTTCCCTACTAAACCCTTACCACGTCAGGAAGCTAAAAGGTTCCCTGTTTAGTCTTAACTTTGTGTATTTCAAGTATTACAGACTCTTCATGCTGCCAAGTAGTACCTCTAATACCTCCTTTTTATGTTAGGTGTTTCCTTTCTTTGCTGGCAGTGGTTCTCAATTGTCCTAGGCGAGGCCTCTGATTCTGGCCCCTTCCCAGCTCACAATCCTTCCACAAAGCCTTATGTTAGTGACCTCATCTCAGGCCAAGTTGAAAATTAACATAAGTATATAAATAAAGCTCACTGAGAAGGAAATAGAGACCAAACTGGGACATTAGGGGGCCAATAAGATTCCAAAGTCCTGACTCCCAGTGTCTCAAATTACCTTCCTAAAGTGTTCAATGTGGCCTGAGAAGTCCTGTCAGGGAGATACCCCAGGATTCAATGTCCTGAGAGGGAGTAATCTAGTTTGGCTACAAAGGAGGATCTCACCTCTCCGAGTTGGCTGGTCGGCTGGTAATTGGCTTAAAGAGACATACTCGCTCAAAGCAGCAGTACAGAAGGTAGATGAGTCCCACACTGAATGGGGTGAACAAGTCAAAAGTTTTACAGATGAAGTGGCCTCCTGGATTTGGAAGGGAAAATAAAAAAAATAACACTCAGTTTAATTTTAACACGTAAGTACCATGGTCTCAAAGAACAAACATGGCAAAGTGCCCCTGATCCAATAAATGTCAGTGGCAATTTAAGAGGTCAGAATCTATTTTAAAAGGGACTTTTGAGATTCTACACCTTTCTTGCCTGAATTTCTCACTTGGCCAAATGCCACCTGAAAAAAAATTTCCAACCCAATTGTTCAGATTAGTCCCTCACTAGTCCACAGTTCAGAAGCAGCTGTGGAAAGGAGTGTTACCTGTCCGGACAATGGACAGTGCCGTGAGGAACTGACACAGTAGCAGTTGCTTGCTGAGGATCTCCTGCAGATTCTCCTGTCCTTCCACTGAGAAACCCTGGAAAAAGAGCATAAAGATAAAAGTGGAGAAGATAAACAAAGAAGACTGAAAATAACATCTCTATCCCATCTTCATCAAGATTTCCTCATGTGCGTTCAGTGATAACCACCAACTGACTGGCTTTAAATTATCTAGGCAGGGTCACGTGAAGTTGGCATGAGCACCCAAGTCACTCTGCTCATTTTCCTGCTCAATTCTAACTGTAAAACTGAATTTCCAATTAAATGGTCTGGAAAAAATTTAAATCATGTAGGTAGCTAATGGAAGAGAAAAGAAGAGCAGAGACTAAATACAGGCTTGTTGTGTGTGTTGAGTCAGAAGTAACCCACAGCTGCCTCTCCAGCAGGTTTTCAGAGGCAGTTAATCACACAGGAGGACACTGCCCAGCCTTCTCCTGTGGAGCAGCTGTGGATTTGAACTGTGTACCTTTGGGATTACAGCACAGTTTCTTACCACTAGGCCAACAGAGCTCCCTAAAATACTGGCTTAGTCACATGCAATATTCACAATAACAAAAAGATGAAAATAACCCAAGTGCGCATCAATGAACAAATAAATGCATAGAGATACTATGGTACATTCACACAATGGAACAGTATGCAGCACTGAAAAACAATGAAGGATTCATGAAACATTATACAACATGAATGATTCAAGAGGACATTATGCAGAGTAAAATAATCAGTCACAAAAGGATAAATACTGTATAAAATTACAGTGATAAAAGGCTAGAGAAAGGCTTATATGCAGAGAATCAATCTAGTATGGTTACCAGAGAGGGGAAGGAGGAGAGTAGAAAATTAATTAGTAAGACAACAAATACTTAGTGGAATGGCTGAAGTAAAGGACAAAATGGAATGAACTGGTGATCAGACATTGCATGTATTTTTTTTTAATAATTTTAATGAACATTTACAGAGAATTTGGATTTCCATTCATTCATTGCTGCACTTCTCT